ATCGGTATGCCAGGCCCGGAAGCTTTGCTTGGAGTCACTGCTCGGCTCTTGGGGGCCTAATGCCGTAATACCGCAGGCATTGCTGTCTTTCAGTGCTTGGGGTTTGAGACGGAGGGTTCTTGGGATTCAAAAAGGTCAGGGCCGGGGCTTAGGGCTTAGGAGCTTCAGCTTGGGAGTTCTGGGGGGGGGGGGGGGGGGATGGCGTTTGCGGTTTAGGGTTTGGGACTTTCAAGACAAGACGGCATTGATTGATATGAGGCCTCAGCGACTCGAGCCTGTGAGAGAAAGATTTACAAAAATAAATCAACAAGTACTAATGATAGCAAGAAACAGGAGGTTGTGGGCTTAGGACTTATGCGCTGGCAGAGTGCTAGGCCGGCCATCCGTCCCACAAGCGATCTATCGCTCAAGCTTTGTTGCAGTTGTCCCTTCGCACCAGCCACTAAGCGCTGACCCCCGGTTCAAGCCCCAGGCACACAGCCCTAAACACGTAGACCCGAAACCCTAGGCCTTGTGCACTTGTGGAAGCCGCGTTTCTGCCCGCTTCTCACCTCCAAGGCTCGGCGATTTCGACGGAGAGCCCCGGGCTAAAATTCGAAGTCAATGCGGGGTTTAGGGTTTAGGAGCGCCTTCTTTTGTGTTTGTTTATAGGGTTTAGAGTTTAGGGTCAGGGGCTTCATGGATTCAGCACACCCAGAAGCAGTTCATCCGGCTACTTGTTCTTTGACTTTACGGTTGCAGCTTGGCTTTTCAGGAGAATTAGGATTAGAGGGCGGTTGGTTCAGGGCGGCTGTGTATGTTGAGTTGCGGTTGGAAAGTTTCCGTCTCCCGACGAAGCTTAAATTAGTTTTCCCCAAGCTATGGGGTGTGTTTCGATGGATGGAAGCTGGTATTTCAGTGATTTGGTAGGCTCTGAAAGTCTGATGTCGAATCATGGGTGTTGACACTGGAGCGCTGCGGCGATACGGGGTTTATGGATGTTTATGGATATGAGATGGCAAACACTCATCCGTACAGAAACCAAGTGTAGATTTCTCTGAGCCGCGGGAGAGGCTTCGGGATGCTAGGACTTCATAATTTCACGGGATGATTATGAATGTCCAGTTGAAGAAAGACAGAGCGCAAAGATGGTTGTAAAGGATCGGGAATCCAACTGGATAGATCGGGAGGTTAAGACAAGACGAACTTCGATCGTAAGCTCGAGCCAGCAAGCCCGAGAAACCGTGCACTCCCCACACCAACTCTATCCCTGAATAAGAAATTGAAAGTAATAAATGTGCAACAACAACACCCCAGTATTATAGGATAAGCCCTACATTTACATAAGTCACTTTGCGAAATCCCCAAGCCCTGCTTTACAACAGCAACCCTGGCTCGAGTGCATGTAGGACGAAGCCAGCGAACCTGGCGCCGCCTCGCAGAAAGACACTGAAGAACAGACCTGTGCCAAAGCACGTAGCGCTGACACGTCAAGGGTTTTGGATTACGTGCCCCATGATTTCTGGCAGAATCAGCGGAGCCCGATGGACATATGGTTTCTGTGTAGATGGGAGCCCAAAAACAACTGCAACTGTACCTTGACATTAATTATAAACAAGACATTCAGACCTTCCCCAGCCATCCTTCCGAAAGCCGTTCGCATCTTTCCGAAGTGGCGTGCTAGCGTGGCATTCCGGACTTCCCATCATGTCGGTCCGGCACCCCTCCCGACGGTGGGACATCGGCCCGACATGGGCCCTCCACGGAAGAGCAGCTTTCTGCCATGGCCAAGCCGACGGCCGGGGTGGAGAAACTGGGCTCTGGTTGAAGAACTTTTGTAAAAGGCATCATAGTCCGGGTATATGCTCTAAGTACTAGTAGCATGCTGCTTTCCTTGCTATGCTAGCTTAAACCGGCTCCCTATAACACGAACCCAGGAGCCAGGCTTCCGGCTTCCGAAGGAGAGGCGATGTCGATCTGTACCGGTTGAGCGCCGAAGTTCGGGCCTTCGGACGGCGCTTCAAATGGCAGGCCAGCTTAGACCTTCTCCGGATTTTGGAAGATGCAACGGTGGAGTCGGACTCCGTGGTGTACTCTTTGGAGCTTGCAGCTTTAGGCTGGGCCCGGCAGTGGGGCCGTTGCATTCACCTTCTGAATGAGCTTCCGAAGACCCTTGTGGACACGCCATGCTGCAATGCCGCGGCGAGTGCATGCAGTACGGCTTCTGTTTGGACCACAGCCTTCCAAGTGGTGCAGGACCTTTCCTGGAGGGCCCTCCTCCCGACTACAGTATCGGTGAACAGCCTTTTTGCCTCCTTCAAGGATAGCACCAGCTGGATGCCGGCACTGGGGCTGCTGTCCTACCTCTCGGAGCACCGATGCGCGGCCGACACAGAGACCATCGCCGGTGCGGTCGATTCGTGCAGGGAAGGTCGGAATTGGGAAGTTGCCCAGCAGCTCCTCGAGGAGGCGGCTGCCCGACTTCTGGAGACGGGTCGCCGTCATCTCGAGGGAGTGATGTATGCAGAGAGCGCCAGCTGGCCTCGGACCATGTCTCTTCTGTCTCAAGCGAAGCAGCGCAGCTGTGCAGGCGACTCGGTCCTCTACCGTCAAGGGATCTCCTCTTGCTTGAGTTCTCGATGTGTGGAAAAGGCGCTGCAGGTTCTCCGCTCCTGCAAGGCAGACGACGTCCAACCGACCACAGCAATGTGCGGGGCTATTCTTGCAGCCTGCAGTGCTGAGTCCAAGTGGCCTGCCGCCTTGTCTGTCCTGGAGGGTGAACTTATTCACGGCACATTTATGACTGGAGCCGTTGACGGCAGCATGTGCTGCTCGGCGATAACAGCATGTAGAGCACAAACTCAGTGGGCCTGGACCATTCGGATCTTTCGCCATGCTCTTTCATCTCCTGGTTTGCTCCCCATCGGTGTCTCAATCAGTTCTCTGGGACGTGCAGCACGCTGGGCGCAGGGTCTGGACATATTGCGGACGATCGACTCCTGCCGGATGCCTTCGGATGCTTCGAACTGGGACATTTGCCTCGGCCTCGGAGATCGGGATCGCTCTTGGCCGAGAGCTCTCACACTACTCGCCAGCGCCCGAAGCCGGCACTTGGAAGCGAGCACTTGGAGTTACAGCTCCCTTGTGAGCCTAGCTGAGCGGGGCGAAGTATGGACGAGGGCGGCGGGATTTCTAGAAGGCATGCAGCGGAAGAACCTCGGCCGACGTTTGCATTGGTTGAGTGTGTCCCGCAAAGCTTGAAATGCAGGGGCTATAGTTCACATCCTTTAGCAACCTTCTATTTGGTAAGAACTCCGCGGTTTAGCCACCCGAGCAGATCGGATAATCACGATCGGTTCGCATTTTCTGAATCCGTGGCATTTGTACCACATCACGTTGGTCAGCATCCAAGGGGTGTGCTGCCGCACGTGGCCGGGTGCAGTGCCGTGATCGCCTCGGTCCAGGAGTTCCGGCACTGGGAATGGGCAGCACAGGCCCAGGGGGCGGGCAGGTGGGGAGAGGTGAGGCAATGCCTATGTATGGCAGATGCTGTTTGCAGGTGAGGGAGATGCTTTTTGGAATGTCACGACTTATCGGGGTGAGCATGTTTGGATGCTCTTTGCGGTTTCTGTGCTTGGAATCAAGCAGCGGCAGAATCTTAATCATGCCAACCACACCGTGCAGGTATTGGGGTGGATGAACCAGCATCAGATTCTCGGCAGCATGGTTGGGCATTCTGCATGTGCTTCCCCAACGGGGAAGCAGAACTGAGGTGTAGTTCTAGCCAGACCAGGAGTGCTGCCGTGAAGCATATGGGCTAGACAGCCGGAACGACCGTAGCATTCCGGAAAGATCTTCTCTTCAGACACCAAGAACCAGGTGTAGCACCCTTTTCTTTCCCAACTGCTAAGGGCTTATAATCCTCAGCGTTGTCACTTTGCATAGTCCCAGCTGGTACCTGATAGCACCGAAATCCTTCATCAACGTCCAAGCTCCCGACCCGAAGTTCTCCAAGATCACAGCTGCAAGTTACAACCCAATAAATCCTCTTCTATTCACAAGCTCCAACCCAATAAAGCCTCTTGCATCGCAACACATATCGTTATTGACTCTGGAGCACAAACAGAACGGAAGCAAGTCATCTAGGCAGGGGCATAAGAATTCGAAAACCCAGGCTTGAGCCCAACAGCTACTGCTCCAACGCCTTGGCCAGCGTCTGCGAGAAAGCGAAGGTTTGGAGACAGTCCCTGAGCGGCTAGGCTTCGTGTACATGCGCTTTGCAGGAGGTTTAGGGGGCGGGATTTGCCACACTGTCAGAAGTGACGAAGCTTTCATACCCCCTACTTTCCTGCGAGTTTCTCACTTCACTGTCTTGCTCCGGGGTTGGTCAAGACACAGAACACAGCTGCAGCCCAGGAATTCTCTTTTCGGTGAGCTCACGCGGCCTCTCCCTGGATGCATTTTCGCTGACTGCCGGCGTTGCTGCCTGTGAGCTCCTCTGCTGATTGTTGCGTGCAGCCAGTAGATGACAGTAGATGACCAGTTTTCACTGTGAGGGTATATAGATATAGACCTAGTATATAGATACACATATATAGATATAACTTCTACTACATGCGACCTTTGTGGAGACCAGGGAACTCAGCAACTGACCTCCAAGCCAGGAAGGCCGGCCGATGGGAGCAGTGTCTCCGACTCCTGGAAGCCGGGTCCACCGAGGCGCAGGGTGGCCGCTGTGCCTGACATTTCGGCAGAATCAAGGTTTGGCGCTAAGTAGGGTTTAGGGTTTTTAGGGTTTAGGGATTATCTTTTCCTAGGGTTTAGGGTTTAGGGGTTTACGGGTTTAGGGTTTTATAGGGTAGAACTGTCGAGCCCAGGCCTCCCATGCAGAAGCCTCAGTCTCACCCCTTCCAAAAAGAGGCTCCTCGGCCTCGTCGGCTATGTCCTTCACTGCTGCCGCCACGGCGGCCGCACGGGCGTCCGCTTGGGCCGAAGCTTTCTGCCTGGGCGCCGCACTGTGGGAGGCCAGGAAGACAGTGGGAGCAAAAGGGCTTTTGCAGGAGTGGAGGAGGCTAGATAGCGGGGGTTCAAAATTATCATCCACAGGGTTCAGGGTATAATAGTGTAGTTCTGGCATTCGGGGGTCATGCTCGAAATCGCTGTTTCAGAGCTTCGGGTGATGAGAGACTCATGTTGAAAGCCAAGCCCGTAGCATCACAGGTGCGAGCGTTGCAGGCCCCAGCAGCTGAGTCCGTGGCCTGTTCGCAGCAGCTATTGGGTTTAGGGTTTAGGATTGGAGGCAGTGAATGTTGAGTGGGATGAGCTAACAGTTAAAGTAATGTGCAGGTGAGGATGGTGTAGGATTTCAGAAGACTCTTCGGTCTCACGAGAGCCCGCACGAAGTGTTGAGTCCGGATGTTGCTGATTCAGTGAGAGCAGGACTGGGGATCTACAGAGGGCCTTTGCAGCTCAGGTGGTTCATGCGCTGTCGCAGTCTGATGGTGCCCCGGCCACGGCGCAGCTGCGGGAGCATAACTTGAAAGGGAGGAAGACGCATGCAAGGTTGCCTTTTGAAGTAGCTACCAGGTATCACTCGAAATCTCAGGCCTCGAAGGGGACCCATATAATTAGCTGCAGCTGTAGAGTAGATTGCTTTTGATTTGTTTAGTTGAGACATTGATGCGCATAATCTTTGACCTGTGCAGATGATTTCTCCCTGATGGGTTTTGACAACGGAGCGTGGTCCATAGCCACAACCCAACCACCCCTGTCTTTACGAACCCAGACTTTCCAAACTCCTTGGTTGAGAGCCCCGAGTTATCCCTCACCATTAAAACCCAAACGCCCGAATTTCCAAAGCATTTCAAAGCCCAATGTCCCGAGAAGCCTGTGACAGGAAAAGATCTGAATTTCGAGATACGAGAAGCAAGCAGAGTTCTCAAGCCCAAAGCCCCCTTCCGGAGGAGTGGCTCGAGGCAGTTCGAGATGAGGCATCGAGCCCGGGCCCCGGGTACTTACTCGTAGGAAAGGGTCCTCAGGAGTGTGGTGGTTACCGGTTTGGGTCAGGGATTTGGGCGATTTGGGCTCTCAGACTTTTTCCTGGAAGCGGTGAGCAACTCATGGCCAAAATACAGAAGCCGCCCTGGCCATTGGCTTGTTCAAACTGCCTGCCAAAAGCTTCTTCCGTACCCACCTCGACGGACCAGAAGATCCGTTTTCCTTTGAGGCCAGCTAGAGATGCGGAGCTGGCAAGGCCGTGAGGCCACTTCCTGGGTCAGTGCCAAAGGAAACTTGCTTCAGGGAAGTTTGTGTGACTTTACGACTGATCTGATTTGTTTAGGGGCCGGGGCCGGTAAGTTCTACTCGGTCCTAGAGGGATGCAGATGCAGGTCTTCAAAAGCTGGGCACATACTATCTACCACGGAGAGCAAGGCGTAATGTGCACCGGTTGCAACTGACAAGTCGTTAACCTCTTTCACTCCGACCACCGCCGCGCCACAGGGAGCTTCTTCTCCACTGGCTGTTGCCCCTCGCAGCCCTCGCGTGGCCTTCCGTGCTGTGCTGGGTGCAGCCGAGCTTCTTTGGGAGGAGCAGGCACGGGGTGGGCTCTGTTAGGCGTTTGCGCGCAACGTAGATAGGGAAGCTTGGCGCACCGGAGAGCTGCACTGTTGGCGACACGCCAGCCACCCGGCTGAAGATACTGTAATTTTCCGCTTCTGCCACGTCCTGTGCCCTTATTGAGACAGCCGTTGCAACGACAGCAGTCCGATAGCACCTTTGGTCGCAACCTTTTTGCACACATTTGCAACAAACACATCAGTCGCAGGCCCTCTCCGCCCCCTTGAGCACAGGCCGTGACCGCGCAGTTCGATGCCTCCCTACGGCAGCAGGTTCTGCCGAATGCATACAGGGTGCTGGAAGAATTGTCCTTACGTCCAGCGAGCAGGCACAAGCAGTGGGACAGCGGGTTGCGGCTCCCGATGGTTCCAGCCAAAATGCTAAGTTGGTCAACCTTTTTCTGTTAAAAAAACCTCAGGCCAGGTGGATTGCTGAAGGAGGCCTTTCCGTCGAGGGGGCCAGAATCCTTTCCAGCTGCCAGGTCTTCCATCCATGAGCTTTCTCGATCGCCCATGCTGGCACCCTGGATGTTCACAGCGTGCACGGATTGTTGCGGCGGACTCTCAAGCGCTTGGCTGCCATTGGCACGGGGTCCAGCCCGGAGGCCCTGCGGCGTCCTGACAGACCTGCCACAAGGTTGCAACTCAGGCCAGACATATTTTTGTGGATTTCCGGGGGCCCTAATTCAACCAGACATCACGTGATCTTCTGCATATAACTAAATGAGCCCTTCAGTGACCCTACTGTTCAGGAACCCTCTAAGTATATGCATATGTATATGTATATGTATATGTATATGTATATGTATATGTATATGTATATGTATATGTATATGTATATGTGTATATATATCTATATATGTGGGTTTGTTAAACATGGCAATCCTTCCAAGGGCACACTCCAAGGCCACTAACCCGACTCTTTACCACGCAGGTCCCATTGCAAACACGCATGACAGTTACAAGGCACTTCAGCTAAATGGATAGAAATATAGACATAACATGGTATAATGATGCTAGTAAGTTTTAAATACAACACACACACATCTATTCTAAGATGATATGTATCGACTTGTTCATGACACTGAGGTTCGCCGTTTCTGCCGGGCGGGTAGCCTGCTGGACTGAAGCCTCCCTTAGCAGCGGGGGAGCCACAGCCCACCTGGTGCGTGTCCTGGGCTTCTTGTCTGACAAAGCTCCAAACTCTCAATGGATGGGGGTCTGAGTCTGACAGTTTTGGATTTGGCTGAGATGTGGGAGGTGCGCGTGTCAGTGCTCGAGGAAGGGAAGCACGGCAAAGCGCTTCGGTGACTCGGTTCCTCCCAGCAGAAGCAGACAAGCAAAGCTAAGGCTTCCGACGACGCATCCCAACTACAGCCGGATGCGGCCACGGCAAAGACTTGCACCCGATTTTCGCAGAAGGGGACAGAGCCCCCCATGCCGAGCGACAAGCTTTGCTTGACGTTCTCGTGCTGGTTGATGGCCTGCTTTGCAAGAAAATGCTGCTGCAAGCTTTAAGGCATACTGCGCCATACTAACATATCATATACTATACATATAGATAGATAGATAGATAGATAGATAGACGCTGCCATGCGGGAGCCATATATTTATATATATATATATATATACAAATATGGAGAAAAAATGTATGAACGAGGTGTTCGTCTTTGTGGGGTGAGGCTTCCCAGATGTTTCCAGTACTGGAGCAGAACTGAAGTCAGCCCTTTCATCGACTCAGGCGTCACATAGGTTCCGCGATGTCTCTGAAGCTATCTGAAATCCCCAACACCCAGACACTCGAGAAATGTTGTCACGACTGGGCCCTGGGCGAACACGGAGTGTGAAGGCGAAGCCCTTTCCGGGATGAGGGTTTCGGGTTTGGGGATGTTTAGGGTTTCTAAATAAAATGAGGCTTTAGGGCTCTGTCAGAGATCAGCTGGCTTAGCATTGTGCTGAGGCAAGACTTGCAAGATAGCTTGGACAAGGTCAACAGGCAAGGAGCCCGGATCTTCAGAAATCGAGCACAAAGGATAAGAGAGTGGGGGTCTTGGGCTTTGGGCTCCTGGAACAGGGGTTGCTTCCTGTGTCGGAAGCAGATGAGATTTCATCTTTCCAGTTCAGTCGACCCAGCCATCCTCTTGGCGTCAGACAAGTGCCGATAGCCAAAAGGCAACGAAAATACGGAATGAAGTCCCACTTGTGCATGACAAAGAACTGACTTCGATCCGAAATCAGCTAATTAACAGAGTTCTAGATCCAGATTTCTGTTGGTCGTCGACGGTGTAAGATGAGCTTAACGAGAACGTTCCTGTTTTATCCTTTCACACTCGTTTTGGATTCCTGTTTCGAGATTGACAGGTCAGCAGGTTCCAGAGCCCTTAAATCCCAGAGCCGCATACAACCACCACGCAAAGGGCTTCCGGTTCGCTTCAGTCCTCAGCTACTGGTAGTGTACTACTGGATTTCGTTTGTTTAATTAAGACTTGTTTGCTTGTCGTTGATGAATCAGGATGGCATCGCGGAGAATGCCAAGAGACTTACCGCTCCTGGACAGTTCGCCGTAGTTACATGCCCGACCCTTGAATCCCCAACAGATGCAAATTGAAATTGTATTCAAAACTCCCGGGATCATGTCATGTCGTTGACTTACATGCGTTGCCGAAGATGTGTTCGGCTCCTTGGCCGGGAGCGTGTGCATAGTACAGCTGCCTTGCAGCTGAGGATCTTTTAATCCGGTGCAGAGTGCACTCGTTTCATGTCGTCGGATTGTTTAAACCTAGCCTGCCAGAAGCATATGCAGGATGCGGTGATGCATGCTCTGCCCACATGAAAATGCGCGCATATTGCTCCGCTTTGCGTGCTTGTGCTAGCCTGCCTCACTGGCCAACCCTGCAAGTCAGGACCATCAGCCATTCGATGAAGCCAAGGGTTTGCTTTCCAGAGCTCCAAGCGCTGCTGTGCTGCTCCTTTGTGCGACCATGGTTCAGTGTTCGGACCACAGCCCAAGGCAAACTTGACCCACAAATGCCACGGCCTGCCATAGCATGGCCCATGAGACCATGGGTCCAGACACAGCCGCAAGCATCAAGCGACGCCCCCACCCCCCAAGCCTGACCCTGAGGCCGACTGTCAGAGTATGGACGTGCTCATTGACATGCAAAACGGTAGCTGGATGTGTGGCTGCTTTCTTCAGGTTCGGTTTCGTAAGGGGCCGTCCATCCGAAGCCATGGCGACGAAAATGCAGCTAAAGCTGATCTACTTGGATCACCACTACTGGCGTGCGGAGTGCGCGCGCGTGGCCCTCTTCATGGCCGGAGTTCCATTCGAGGATGCCCGCATGGGGTACGAGGGCATGTACGCATCCGGGGCTCTGACCTTCGGAACCTTTCCGGCCCTGGTGGTGCCGGGAAGGGGCGTGCTGAACCAGACGCAAGCCATTGCACGTTATGTGGGACATCTCACTGGGATGTACCCTAGCGAGCCCTTCCTGGCTGCGAAGTGCGACGAAGCCATCGACGGCCTCACAGATGTCTCGGACCTCGTCACCGATACCATGCAGGAGCTTGGTTGTCAAGGTTTCAAGCGTCGATCTGCCACCGCATTCGTGTGTTACAAACCAGTACTGTCACAGATGAAAGTCTCGGGGAAGAGTCGCAGTCGTGGAAACCTGAAGGGATGGATGACGACATCACAGTTTAGCAAGACAACCCGGAGGGACGGTTCTTTGCGGTACTGTGAGACAGCCCGTGTCCTGATGCTGAGGTTTTGGCTGATCCGGTTGCCGAATCTATACCGACTCCCTTTTCTGTTCTCATGAACAGTCCTTACACTTTGCTGCAAATTCCAATGCGTCTTTCTTATCCGGCGGAATAATTACAGTGGTTCTCGGGCATATCATAGACATAGACTTTACGATACCCCCATAAGCCCCATGGCACCCTGAAGATACAGAAAGCCTCACTAGGGCCCCGAGCGGACCCGAAGAGACTTTAAGTCGCTTCGGCAGGAGCGGGACCCAAAGCGGAAGATGGCCTGGCGGGCGGCCCTGGTGGCTCCCGATGGTCGCATGACCATGCCTCTTAGGCTTTGTATTCGGGGTTTAGTGTATTTTTAGTTGGTTCTGTTTCTATGGCACATGTAAGGAAAGCAGCTTGAGCAGCTGATAGGGAGAGAGAAACTTCTATTCTTCAAGACGAACAAGAAGAAATAGATGCAGAAAGTAGTGCTGTGCAGCAGGAGCGGTTCCAATTGAACTGGTAGTAACACGAGTACACCGACCGGTAAGTAATAGCAGTAGTAATATCCCTAGTCGCAGTGGTGCGGAATGCATCCCTTTCAAACTCCAGGCTTAAGTCGCGATGAAGGCACAGCCGAAAGCTGTTAACAATCGAATCCGAGTGCGCCTGGCAGAGAGCGAGCCTCGAAGCTTCAACGGGCATCTCCCTCAGCCACCCCAGCACACCCCCCTGCACCTCAACACCACCTGACGCCTAAATTCGTTCCTGGGCCTTCCTGCACTCAGGCTGTTGAATGGCCTTGAAGCGTTGCTGAAGCAGAACGGTGCCAGTCCAGTGCCCTACGTGGCTCGAGAACTTGATACAAGCTTGTGAGTTGTGAGGTCCCAGGGTTTAAGGGGCGGCTGCTCGTTCAGGGGGCATCGGATTGCGACTTTTGGGGGTTATGCTTTCGGAATTGTATTAAGCCCGGTTGCCAACTACAGTGCCGCACATACTTGGCCGGCATACTTCTGGACATTCCCTTTCTTGATTCTCTGCCCGTCTTGCATCACTCGCAGATTTGCCCCAGTCTCCGCTTCTGTTCGTGTTATCGACACTCGCAACTGCTCGTTCTTTCGACTTCAATGTATATTCAGTAACTCAGCAGCTGAAAATAACGTGGCCTTTGAGCTGTGTCCTGGGTTGTGCACAAGATCCGGCATGTTGAGCACGACCGCAGAAATAGTACCAAGTGGGTGTTCCTCATAATCCCGTACATCAGCGCATGGATCGTTAAAGCTTATGACTGGAGCAAAAACCTGAAGACCTTTGAGAAGTCGATAGCGTTACGTATGCCAAACAAAGTTCAGAGCCTACATATCCCTTTTTCTGTAGCTGTCAGGTGGCAGGCGGTTCACTAAGTGTGGCCGACCTCGCCATTTGGAGGGCTGTGGGCTGGATCTCCAGTGGGGTGAGCCTTGGCAGATAAATCCGGGCTAGGGGCTGGGGCTTCGGGAGGGTAGGGGTCATAGAGCTTTCGGAAGGCTCGGGGTTATTGCTTGTGGCTTTCGAGTAGCCCGAAGGCTTATCCTCTATCCTGTGATTTCGCCAGAAAATGTAATGTGTAAGTGTTCGCTCAAGCTTGAAGCCTGGCGGACAAGCAATTAGGCAACAGGCACTAAGCGTTTCTGGCGCGCCCGTCGAACATGTCCTGCCCAAGGATCGACGGGATAGCTCCCACGTACATCCAAACTACCTTCCCGCTTCTATGGGCACTGCATTGTGCGGTGGACCAGGATCCCAAGGCCTGGACCCCAGTGCTCAATTCTTTGCTGAATGGGGTCATCTACAAAAGCCCACAACTGTGCGACATGTGATGAGGGACAAAGATGAACATGATGGCCCGCGCCTAGCGGCCTAGCCTAGCACTCTCGAAGGTTGCAGAGTGGAAGATGCGAAATCCCCATCACTACAAGCGCTGAGAGAGACCGCAATTCCATGTTTCTATTTTGCTCATGAGGTTCAAGACCTAGCAGTATCCTTTTGCTAGAATCACTAGAAGAGAGCTCAATGGATGCCAAGAGTGGAAGACTTGTGCTGTTTTGGTTGCTTGGTTCGGTGCTTGAACCTCCGGTAGAATTTTTGGGCTGTTTATGGCCGATTCTCAGCAACTGCCATGCGTTTGCTAACAGTTGCTTATCTGTCCGGCTGGAGCCGCTTTTCTGGTGTCCATTTCTTTCACCCACCATTTCGTTGCCACAGGCGGCCTCATAGGAGTGATCCGTACGAAAATTCATCCAAAATCCACAACCGCTCCGTTGGTATCACATTTCTTGTCAACCTATCAGACTTGTCCCTCGACAGACCTCTCAATTTTCAGATTCTGTAATATCAAAGGAAAGGTTATTTGATAGGACCGCCTCTTAATTCTCTAATAAAACGGTGTCGTGTTGGTCGCCTCCGTTTTTTTGTGCGCGCCCCTGGCCCCTGGAACCTCGTACTTTGGCGCGTTTCCTTTTGAACGCCTCTTGCGTGCCTCTCTCGCTGTATTAATACCGGGAGCAATTTTTTCCCGCGAAATTTTGTGCATTTAGGAAATCTCGCGGTAGTAAAATTTCGGAAATTTTGGTTGTTCGAACGCGATACGCTCCCGGTAATAAAATTTCCGAAATTTTCGGTAGGCATTCTCGCGGTCATAAACTTTCCTATATTTTTGGGAAAGGCTCGCGGTCCTCGCGGTAATAAAATTTCCCAAATTTTAGTACCGGGAGCATGTCCTAAATTTGGCTTTGCGGACCGATTTCAGGGCCGCTCGAAAAGCACGCAAGAGGCTTGCAAGAGGAAGCTTGCCTCTACATCCTATCATTGTCAAAACATGTCCAAACCTTAATTGGGTTAGACGTACATGTTGTAGATCTTCCTAGCGTTCTCACTCAAATATATTCTCTATTTTTCTATCCTTATCAAAATGCTTGCAAACTTTATTGGAAACTTATGTCGTGCCGCCGAAATTTTCGGTAGGCATGCTCGCGGTCATAAAATTTCCGAATGTTTTGGGAAATGCTCGCAGTAATAAAATTACCGAAAAAATTTTAGTTCCGGGAGCATGTCCCAAAAAAGAGGCTTTGAAGAGGAAATGCATCCGATTTTGGGGCCGCTCGAAAAGCACGCAAGAGACTTGCACAAGAAAGCGCATCAAGATCTGAGTGCCGAAATTTCAGTGNNGAGACAGACACGCAAGACACTTTCAACAGGAAACACGTCAGGATCTTGGTAGCACGAGCTCCGGTGCAGCTCTCTCTGAGTGCAGGTGTCGATGTGTCTCTCCTGTGTGTCTATGCGTCTATCTCCGTGTTTGCTTTTGGCAAGCAGGAGTTCGTCTGTCTGCATCCGTCTGCTTGTGGTGTCTGTCTTTCTGTGTCTGTCGGTCTGCCTGTCTCTGTCTCTGTCTCTGCTGTCTGGCTGTCTGTCTGTCTGTCTGTCTGTCTGTCTGTCTGTTTGTGCCGTCTGTCTGTCTGCCTGCCTGCCTGCCTGCCTGTCTGCCTGCCTGCCTGTCTGCCTGTCTGCCTGCCTGCCTGCCTGTCTGTCTCTCTGTCTGTCTCTCTGTCTGTTTCTCTGTCTGT